AAAAAAAAAAAAAAAAGCAAATTCTTAACCACAGTACTGTATTCCATTTGTGTAATGATACAGAACAGTGAGTGATGTGTTTGTGTGTGTCTCAATATATAGATTGTGTGTGTGTGTATATATATGTAGCTTAATTGTATATATTTATGTATGTTCCCATGACAAATATGAAAGAATATGGTCATAGATGGAACCTGTATTATATCCAGTTGAAATGAGCCACAGTATCTCATGGTTCCAAATCCCTGAGTCGTGTGATATAATGTTGACAAAATATCTACATATTTAAGTACAGTATTAGCTTAAATACTTTATATATGAGGGCTAGGGATATAGCTCAGTGGCACTGTGCCTGCCCCCAAGTGCAAGGTCCTGAGTTTGATCCCCGGTACCAAAAAGAAAAAAGATATATGATTATATATTTAGAACTGGGAAAAAATCTCTTCGAGGGATAAATATAATTAGAGATACTTTTTCCAACAGCCACACATTCTTTTCATCATTATTTCAACTTTTTGACTTAAAAAAGAAAGATCATGATATCAATATAATTTTCACAGCTCTATTTCCAGATACCCTAAAAATTTATCTTAGAAAGGTTTTTCAATATCTGGTTCTTTCTTTTGCCACATTTCTCTAGTTGAATAACTGATAGGATCTTTGCCTCATAAAATTTGTTTTTAGGGGGAGATCATATTTGAAAATAAATTTATGTAGTATAAATTGGGAGAAAAAGAAAATATGTGTTGTTACTTCTAGCCTATCAATCCTAATTTTAGTTTCAACTTTGGCACTTAATAATGTACTTTAAATAATAAGGTACTTTAAAATATATGTAGATATGAAACCATTATTGTTTATGTTAGAGACATGCTTTAATACATCCACAACAAAGTAGGAGAAATAAACGACCAGATTATGAAGAATAAACCTAATATCCAGCCTGAGTTTGTTATAAGGTAAAAAGACATTTTGTGGGTTATTATTTTTCTTTCTGTGCTTGCTCCTAGACTTACATTAAGTTTAGTTTACTTTCTTTGTTTTGTTTATTACAAATTTTATTTTAGTAATATGAAGTGAACCAATTTTCTTATGAGCATAAAATGTAGCCAGTTTGATGCTCATAATATATTCTAAGTTCCACATAAAGGAGACTGACATCTTTTATTTCTGCCTTCTCCCAGTGTATCAGCTACAACAGGAAGCCCCTCATCCTCGGAGGATTACCTGTACTTGTGAGGTGGGTGCAATGAAACCATTACAAGAAAATTATTCTTAGCCATGTTTCCCAAGCTTTGATCTTCCCCACTGGCTTGATTGTTTGTGGGATTAACTGTTTACAACATTGGTTGGCATCATTTTTCTTTTAACATTCATCTCACTTGATGTAATTCTTACTTCGTAGCAGGCTTTTGGAATATCATATAGAATGACTGTGTAGTTTTAATTGACATTATAGTTGTTTCACCCATTGTTGTATTATTTTTATGTTTTACTTATTTTTTAAAGCAAAATGTTAAAGTATTTTTGTGGGTTATTTTTTTCCACTGAAAAACATATAAATCATGATTTTAAAAATGAGCAAAAGAAAAAAATGAGCAAGAGACATGGATAATTCACCAAAAATACATTATATATGACAATATATGAAAAGATGTTCAACATAATTGATAATGCATATTAAAATACACTGAGACTGACAGACATTTGAACACTTAGAACATATTTAATTGACAAGCCTGTGAGTCAGTAGGTACCCTCAAACATTGCAGATGGGAATGTGAGATGTTATGATTTTATGAGAGTTTTTGGAATATTTAACAAAATTATACCTGCATTACTCTTTGACCTACTGTTACCTCAGATTCTAAGGATTTACCCCCATGAATCACCTGTTCAAATATACAAGAACATTTGCTCAATATTTTTCATTGTAAAATTATTAATAATAGCAAGATATTAGAAAAAACTTATTATCTGCACAGACTGATCAAATATAATACTAAAAAGAATAAGTATTTTAATGAACCAATATGGAATGATTTCCAAATACAAAATGTACAGGCATGGTCCCTTTTTGTAAGAAAGAAAGAAAATTTTAAAAAATTTAAAAAACAAGTAGCTTAATTTTGCAAAGGAGAAACATAGGAAGGATTAAGCAAAGACCAGTGAAATGGTCACTAGAAGGAGGAGGTGAGGACCAGGGAGAGGAAAGGGATGACAGTTAGACTCCTCGAGGATGTATTTTATACATGTAGTTGTGACTCTTCAACTATGTAAATGTTTCATATATTCACCTAACAAAACTAAGTAAAAAGACTTTAAAAAATAAAACTCTAAAAGTAAGTAGAAGTAGAAACAAATGAAGCTAATAAGTTTATAACATAATCACCAAAAAAAATATGTAGCTTTAACCCTGTTACAGGTAGTCTAACGATACAGAGGGAAATAGTCCCAGGGTCAGAAATATCTAAAACAACTAACCAGCCAACCCACCCACAAAAAAGATCTTTAGCCATACTTAGTAGAGTTGTTGTTTGTAGTGGTGCTTGAGTAGTAATCCTGAATATTTATGTGTAGTATACAATAGAGTAAATGAGTAGTTATATTGGATTTTTGAGAAGCAGGGTTCTTAGGAGATACAAATAAGGAATGGGGCAAATTGGGAGGTTCACTGTGGTGTTGAATTTTAAGTAGAGGTATTAATACGAACTCAGGTTTAAAATGTTTTCTGCTGTCTGAGTCCATTGAGAGGGCTTAGATATCGTTGTGCTGCAGTAAAGGTGAATATATTAGGAGTCCAGATTTTTATTTATAAATACTGTTTCCCACTAAAGGGAGCCAGTGCTCCTTAGAGAAATTCCTAATTCCAGGCTGTGAGGCAGAAATACTCTGGAACATTTTGTTATATTAGAAATAAAAAAGTGCTCACAGTCTATCTAATGAAGACATGTAAGAAAGTTGCAAGGAGTTGCTTGCTGGGTTCCTACAAGAAAATATGGCACAATTTGAACATCCAAAAGAATAATGATAGTAATGGATTGTAATACAGTGATTGAAAGAGAATTTTTTTTTTGGTACCAGGGATTGAACTCAGGACCTTGTGCTTGCAAGGCAGGTGCAGGAACCACTGAGCTACATCCCTGGCCTGAAAGAGAATTTTTAATTTCATAATGATACTTTAAAATTTTAAAAATACTGGCTGGGGATGTAGCTCAGTGGTTCCGCCACTTGCTTCACAAGTGCAAGGTCTCGAGTTCGATCCCTGGTACCAAAAGCTAAAATAAAATTTAAAAAATACTATTCCAATACAAAGAGGTGAAAAAGGGGGGAAATGCGAAATTATTTACAGAGGAAGGGCAGTTAAAACATAGAATGATAGAATTATGAAATTGCTAGTTAGCACTGTTAATTAATTCAAGCAAAGATCATTATTGGATGTTAAGACTATTGAGTAAAAGGCTGTAAACCAACAAGATATTTACATGGTCTCATAATTACTACCTCATCAATTATTTATTATTTGCAAAGAGGAGCAATACACCTTTATAGTGGAGAGATTGGCAGTTACACCCTCAAGTTAGGGGATCATTTAGCATTTCTTGTAATGGGACAAATGGATATATGCCTTGAAACGTGATACAATGGGAGACACAACATTACATAATAATATTCCAGGCTAATCATGAAGTACGAATCTGACAAATCCAGAATGTGTACATTCTGTAAGACATCTGTTTGGGCTTATAAATAATATCTTTGGGCCAGGGATTTAGCTCAGTGGTTCTGCAGCCTGCCTTGAAAGCGCAAAGACCCGAGAGTTCGATCCCCGGTACCAAAAAACAAACAAACAAACAATATCTTTATCATAAAAGATGAAATAGTGGTGGGACCATACAAAATTAAAGGAGACTAAAGAAACATGTAATCAAATTCAATGTTTGCACCTTGATTAGGTCCTGAGGTTTTATAGGCACATTCGATATATATTTTTAATGCTATAAATTTTGAATACAGTTGGAGAAATTTGAATATGGACTATATATTAGATAAAATGGAATCATGGCAACTTTCTTAGGTGATTATTATTTAAAGGAATTGGCTGGGCGGGGGATTTAGGTCAGAGGCACTGTGCCTGCCTTGCAAATGCAAAGTCCTGAGTTTGATCCCCAGTACTAGAAAAAAAATAAAAGAATTCCTTCTCCATTGATAAAAATATTGAAATAAATTTTTTCACTATGATGTTGTGTTTAAACAGCTATAACTTAAAAAATAATATGCAGTGTGATCAAAATATATGGTGAATATTTAAGTGAAAAAATGTATTGCAGTAAAAAGACATTCCCGTTGATCTCCCTCAGAATGCTCCCTCTCACTTCAGCTACGCTATTCCATGACTGTTGCCACTTTCTGAACCAGTTCTGGAAGTCTTCTTTCTTGAGTGTCTTTATAAGGTATAATAAAAATGTGAATGCTGCTGCATAGTGCCATCCAACAAAAAGGCAGGCTCTCAAAAACATTCCAGTGTGTCCTCATTCACCTTATTCACTGGATCTGGCACCATATGACTCCTGATTCTTCCCCAAAGTAAAAATGACCATGAAAGGTAAACATTTTTGAATTGTTCAGGATACTGAGGCAGCCATGACAGCACAACTAAAAGCATAAAAAAGGACTTTAAGAACTGCTTTAGAAAGTGGCACTATGATGTGTATTCAAAGTGAAGGGAAGTATTTTGAGGGAGATTAATGGCAATATGTCTTTTACTATAATAAAATTTTTAATTCACCATATTGTTGATCAGACCTTGTATACTTACAAAGAGAATTTATAATTTACAATATTAAGCAGGAATTTCATGACATTTTCTTTTGAATGTCCAGTTCCAGTTTATATGTAAATGTAGTCTGCACATTCCCTCCACATACAGAATGAGTATGTGGTTCTTGATGATTGCATTTCATTGCTACTGTGCCATGATCAAGGATGATCAAATAATTTTACATGTAATGAGAATTTTAAAAATATTATATAATAAAATTTTTCATTGTGTTCCATGTTTTGTCCAGATATAACTTTTTAAACTTTTTTTTTTTGGTACCGGGGGTCAAACTCTAGACATTGTGCTTGTGAGGCAGGTGCAGCATCACTGAGCTAAATCCCCAGCCCCAACTTTTACACTTTTAACTGAAACTGTGACATTGGCAGTATTATCTGGAGTACTTATTAGTAACATAATCTTTATTGAGACATAACTACATCATGCCTTTCTCAAATGAAGATTTAATAAAAGAAATTAAAATAGAAGAACCAAGGAGTTGGAGTACTGATCAAGGATCATTGTAATTGTGTGAAGTTTTTCACAGTAATAAAGTATATAACTCTTAAGGACCCCAAAAACTAGTATGAACCAATTTTCCTAAACTAAATTCTTTGACAAACAATTTAGTTGGCCTAAGTTAAAGAAACAACAAGCTGATGTGGTCCAAGTGTACAGTCTTCTGGTGTTCCACCTTGATGCAGTGTGAAATAGTATGGAGGAGTAGATGAGTCTGATAATCTCTGAAAATTATTTCTTGATACAGTTTTGTGATGTGATAGGCTGAATATTGCCATCATCTGTACAACTACACCTACACATTCTACATTGTTGGCTAAAGGCATGCATGTAAGCATTGGGAAACTAGGAAATCACATTACACAATTGGCTGGCTGGCTCTTTCTTTCCTTTTTTCTTTCTTTCTGTTTGTTTTTTGAGGCAGGGTCTCCCTTTATAGTTCAGGCTGGCCCTGAACTCACTATGAAGCCCAGGCTGGCCTCAAACTCACAGGGATCCTCTTGCCTCTGCCTTCCAAGTGGTGGGCTTTCAGGCATGCACAATTATGTGTGGCTGGCATTTTCTTTTTTCTTTTTTTCTTTTTTTTTTTTTGGTACCGGGGATCGAACTCGGGTCCTTATGCTTGCACAGCAGGTGACAAAACCACTGAGCTAAATCCCTGGCCCCTGGCATTTTATTCCTTAATGCTAAGAATCTATTCATCATTTTCATGCTGGTTGAGAATTCTTTCACAAAAAATTAGCAGTCATGTTTGGATGGCAAATTGGAGGACATGGAATGCTTTTCTGTATGCAAGAGGTTTTAATGTGGGCTGTTTCTACTTTTATACTGTAACACTCTTACACATTCAAATCTTATAGTTTATACTTTTGTCTGTTTTTAATAAAGATTAAATGGTTATA